CCTTTTCTCTGATCCATAAGCGGATCAGATAATGGATGGTCGCGGGCATGGTGGAGCCCATCCCAGCTGTCTTTGAGCAGTAGGTGGGGTACACCCTGAACTGGTTCCCAGCCAATCGCAGTGCACACATAGACAACAACCAACCATTTGTGCTCACAATCACACTTCAGGACAATTTAGAGTGGGCCATTAACCTGCTATGCACATTTTTGGAATGTGAGAGGAATATATATCCCTTTTGACGTCCATCCCCAACGTCTGACGATGCTGCCTGTCTTGTAGGTCTGAAGATATATATATATCTATCTATATATATATCTATATATATAGATAGATAGATATATATCCTCAAGATCCTATTTTATGTTTAAGAAAAGACAGACGAGGCATAATTAATTAGACTCAACCACTAAATTGTATTTTCCCGAGGGACACAATCATCCCATTCAGTATCTCCAGAGGACAGAATTTTAACATCTGCCACCTCATCCTCCACTTGCCTCTTTTTTAATACCCTCCAGAGTGCCGACAAACTGTTGACTCCGGGTTTAGATTTCATTCTAACAATTACGGTACCTGCATACCATTGTATGGGGAACTTTTTTTTTTTGCAGTTTGTCACCCCACAGACAGACAAGGTTCTTTGTCACATAATGGAATTCAAGTACTGTCAACTCAATTTATTTCCATATAGGCGAACTTATGGCAATTGTATTTTGGCAAAGATTTGGTAATGATATTTTTCATTTCATGTTGTTCAATTTTTATGTGACTTAAACACGAATCTTAATAACTTAGTTGGTATTGGCATGGGTTAATATCTGAGTGAATGATCTGTTGTGGTGGAGTCGTACTAAAACATTTCACTGTATACGAACTACCAGCTAAAATAATAGTTCACCAAACACTGCCATCATGACCAACATTAAAATGCATTAGCGTAGTAGGGTCAAGTTTAAAAAAAAGACCGAGGTTTTATTCTTGTAAGCTGCTGTATTATTCTGCACAGTTGGAACATTAACGCTGTGCTTAAATAAAATAATATTTACCTAAGTAATGATTCAATTTAAATCTATTAAACGTAATGGAACTGTACTTAAATGAATGTTTTAAAGCAAACTGTTCTTAAAGATTAAAAGCAAGTGATTTGGACTTCAAAGTTAAATAGAACTGAACCTTATCATAGTTAGGCAGTGATTCTTTCATGCACATTTACAGGAGGCCCACACCGGGAAAATCACTCATCTATTCAACGCTGTAACTCAAATCAATGGTTCATATTTGAAACACATATATAACTTTACAGAACTGCAAGTTTCAGTTGTGAGCTGCAAAATAACTCAGAGAGTAGATCTCAACCATGGCCAAAACCGGATACACAGACACATGGGAGAATTGTATCATTAACAATAAGGCCATTATTTACTTTTCATTTAAAGTAGGTATACTATGTACAGTATTTTTATTTATTTATTTACTTCTTTTTAAAATTGAAAACAGTTTCCAGATGCCTCAATAATGTGTCTGTGTTTTTGTCAAAATGTCCTGAGGATTAAGAGGTAGAGCACACTTTGAATTATCACTGGAGGAGCCAGCACTTCATCACTACAATGTGTGAATGTGGCATACAGACATATCAACCCCCAGCTCCACCCCCCACCCCCACTGCATCCACAACTTCAGGTAGCAATGAAGTACGTACCTGTGGCGCTTATCAGAAGCTAAGGCTAATCGACCATCCCGACAAACTTGACGCAGTTCTCCTTACGTTTTAACTTTGACAGGACAGCATAGATGGATTTATTATTCATAAAATCTGGCCTGGCCTTGGTGGAAGCCATTAACAGCTCATCTCCTCATTGTGCTTAAACGGGTGTCTCCGAGGCTATTGATTGTATTATACTGAAAGGCTTCAGCCATCCTTACGTACACTTACAATATAACTTATATTCAATGATTCATAAGCTCCATTGATTTCATGCCAGCTGCTGTTTGGGCTGAAGTGTTCCTTCAGTTATCATGGCTAAAGACGGCCGCTATTGTATAAACCATTCACAGTGACATACAGTACGTACTGTATTTGATTCAAATTAGAGGAATAATTACACCGAGGGAAAAGGTAAGCTTGGCGTTGCCATGGTGCATACACACAACTGATTCGCATTTGCATGGAATGTTTGATTGTACGAAAATGGGTGGGGCTGTGTCACGTGAATATCTCAATGTTTGATATACATCCTGTAATCAATGTAATTGGCTGAAATAGGCTTGGAAATGGCAAATCAGCTTTCATTGAAGTCCACTTGGTTTTGCTTTGGTAGTCATTTTTATTTGTGTTTTTAAATCTAAAATTATATATATTTTTTGTGTTTTTAAATGATTGACATTTCAATATTATTTTTAAAAAATGTACTTTTTAATGTTTTTAAGTCAGTGTCCTTTTTTTTGCTAAATATTTTTAATATGTATTTTTTTTCAAGAAGGTAATTTGGATTTAATTTTTTTTTTAGTTCAATTTTATAAATTTCCCCAGTGTGGGAAAAATAAAGGATATCTTCCTTTTAAAAAAATCAAACTGTTTTTTAAATGATTTACGTGTTGTATATTTTCATTCCTTTATTAATTTTCCAAACCGTTTATTATCATGAGGGTCGCGTTATGGCCATCCTTGCCAGAGGTGTCAAATTCCGGTCCAGAAAGTAAAAACCCTGTCACTCTTTGGATTTAGCAACAGGTACTTCTATTCAAATGGCTTGTAAACAAACTCTCCTTAGTGTTATTATTATTATTATTATTCATTCATTCATTTTCCGATCCGCTTATCCTCACAAGGGTCACGGGGGGGGGGGGGGGGGGGGGGGGGTACCTCATCAT